ATAAGACTCCAGAAAGGCCCCACGAACGCTGCAAAGACGGCATTCGGAACTCCAGACGGCGCCAAGGCGTCCCATGAGGGGCCCTGTAGCCCCACACCCAAAGATGGCCACCGAGACCGGCTCCAGGCACCCAAGGAGGCTCCAAAGGATCCTGGGGTCCAAGAAGGCCAAGATGGCGTCCGGTCGACCGAAAATGCGCCCAAGACGTCCCAAGAGGCCTCCAAAAGCCCTCCCAAGAAGGCTCCGAAAGGCCAACATATTTGTTATTGTGAGTGTTTGTCCAATGATTGGGAGCCCTCGGCTTTTCGAGCTTTCAGCGCTCCATGACGGCCCATGAGGCCCCCAAGACCGCCGCAAGGCAGCCCAAGAGACCCACAAGAGGGCCCCAGACGGCGCAAGAGGGCTTTAAGACGGCCCCAGAGGGCCCAGGACGGCCATGGCAGCCACAAGAAGGGCCCAAGAGGGGGACCACAACCAGAATATCCGAGTCTCCCGCCCCAAGAGGCCCCCAGGAGGCCCCAAGGAGGCGCCAAGAGGCTCACAGCAGGCCCGAAGAGACCCTCAAAAGGCCCTCAAAACGTATGACGAGGCCCCAAAACGGCTCCCGAGAGACCTCCAAACGGCCCGCCAGGTGTCCCCGAGAGGCCTCCCGCAACGTTTCAACGAACATCCTAGAGGCCTGTGACCCACAACCCAGGCACGGTAGTGGGATGGGCCGAAGGCTATTCGACACAAGTAGTATCTGAAAGCATACTAAGTACTAAGTGATATTCTCTCCTCCCCTCTCCTCCGTGGCCATTTACTGTCCACCAATCCCTTTCGCCCCTGCGCGCTACTGTCCTTCACGCAATCACCTGGCATCTTCTCTCCTGCCCACCTCTTTTCTGCATATCCCTCTCCCGGTCGTCGCCTCTCCGAATCCCCCGTCCTCTCAATCCCCCCCCCCGCTGCCCTGTCGTGTCCTGTTCTCCCCTCTCCCCTTTCCCCCTCCTCTCTCTCTCCGCCCTCGGCCAAAGCCTCTCCTCCCTCCCAGTCCTCCATCCCCCCCACCCCGCCCCACATAATTACAGGCCGCCCAGATGGGGTCGAAGTAGGTTGGAAAGAATGATCGCGCTGCATGGTCGACACATCCGCGATGCAAGGGTAGAGAAGATCAGGCTCTGGATCGAGCCGCATCCTCGACGCACTGGCAATGTGGCGCGAGGCTCCGACCCCACCTACTCGGACCTCGTCTGGGCAGGCTGGACCTAGAGCAATACCCTCCTCGGAGGGGCAGCGATAGGCGGGGGGGCCACCTCAGCACAAAAAACATCGAGCTGGAACCGGCAATACACCACCGATAGATCAGTAGCAGGCCCCCGACAGTGAGACCGCACGGTCCTGGGCGGGGAGGACTATCAGACCCCTATCGGTGATAAAAGGGCGATCGAGTGTCGATGCGTCCCGCCTGAGCCTATCCCCCCTGGGTTTTCGGGCCATGACTCGGGTCTCCAGCTGCCGCTCTGGACGCAGCCGACACCCCAAGAACGCAGTCGACGAGGCGCAGCTGCAGGAACGTACCCCGAGGCTGAGAGACAACCGCCGAGAACCAACGAAAAGGTCCGAAACCCTCGAACCTCGATGATCGCCCTGCCCCCCCAAACTAAAGGCCTCTCAGATGGGGTCGGAGTAGATGGGGTCGGAGGCTCGCGCCGCATCGCCTATACATCGGCGATGCATCGGCGACGCATCGGCCATGCACTGGCGACATCGGCGATGCATCGGCGACGTCGTCGTGGAGAACATTTGGCCCCACATCGAGCCGCAACGCTGCTGGATCTCCGATGCATCGGCGATGCGGCGCGATCCTCCGACCTCATCTACTCCGACCCCATGTAGGATCGGGCGTTGGCAGAACTGGGTTCAGTGGGACCTGGTTTAGTGATGTGTACTGGTGGACGCCCCCTTCCCCTCCCTCGTTAACTGCCGTCACCCGAAAAAAACACCAGCTAAGGAAGACCTGGTTGAGTGATTCTGGCCAATTTAGGGGCTCCAGGGCCCAACTACTAACCGGGTCCCCTTACCTGGGGACCTGGCCATACCCGATAGGAGGCCTAGACCTCCCCAACGTTGCCACTGATCCTCCCCCTCCGCCCCCCCCCACCCCCCCACGGACAGGCCTGCAGGTTCGCCGCCGGCGCCGTGCCCGCCGCCGTCGGGGGGGCCGTCGACGGGTCATGCAGGCCGAAACCGTGGCCCTCCCCGAAGACCTCGAACTGGAGCACCTCGCGAGCTCTCCGAGCACGGGGCGGCGGGAGAGGGAGGCGGGAGCAGGAGGAGGAGGAGGAGGCGGAGGAGGAGAGGAGGAGGAGGAGGAGGAGGAGGAGGCGGAGGATGAGGAGGAGGAGGAGGGAGGAGGAGGAGGAGGAGGAGGAGGAGGAGGAGGAGAAGAGGAGGAGGAGGAGGAGGAGGAGGAGGAGGAGGAGGAGGAGGAGGCGGAGGCGGAGGCGGAGGCGGAGGACGAGGGGGAGGAGGCGGCCATGGAGCGGGCAGGCTCGACCCGGGCTTGCCCGCGGCGGGCCCCTGGGGCCCGCCAGGAGGGTGCCGCAGAGAGCGGCGCGGCGCTGGCGGGGCTCACAGCTAGAAGCATGGCTGGCTATCGCTCGGGCGTCCATTTCCTCTGCATGGTTTGGTTTCGTGCGTGTGCTCTTTTTGCTCGCAAGGTGCAGAAGACTGCTCCTTGATGGCGCTTGCCGAGGAGAACGCAGATGTCCGGGCGATGCCAAGTACAGCCAGAAGGGTGGACGGCAGCGCCTTCAACACGGGCCTCTCGCAAGAATTGCGGGACCATGGGGCACCCGTTCCTCAAAGTGGCACTTCCCGCAGCGAGCAAGAACCCCTCGCAGGGGCTCATGAAGTAGAGATCTGGAAGGGGTGATTACAATATAGCTGCTGCATGTTGGGCTTGCTCTGGCCATCCCTCTTCCTCCTCCTCGGGGGTGTACGCTGTGTTCGTCCGTGTCTAGCTGACCGACCCTAGAAATTGACAGAGAGGGGCTGCGCCTGGTGCAATCCTTTGCGGGATCGTCTGAAAGGCGGAGGGGGGACAGAGGAGGGAGGAGGGAGGAGGAGGGAGGGAGGAGGAGGAGGAGGAGGGAGGAGGGAGGAGGAGGAGGGAGGAGGAGGAGAATGAGGAGGAGGAGGAGGAGGAGGAGGAGGAGGAGGAGGAGGAGGAGGAGGAGGGAGGAGGAGGAGGAGGAGGAGGAGGAGGAGGAGGAGGAGGAGGAGGAGCCAGGGCTGAACCACCACAGACTGTGCTTTCTCGAGCGCCGAGGTCAAGATTGCAATCCTCGTCTTCGGTGAAGAAAAGCAGCGTCTCTTTTCGCTTTTATAGTACAGACTGGAGCTGGCGTGGACTTCAGGCTCGAGGTTGTATGTTGCACTGCGCATCCTGGCACTGGCCTGCACGTTCATGGTCCGCTGCATCTTGTCCTTGAGGTTGAAAGGCTTGGCTGCACTACCTGCTGGTGCCTCGGGCAACCCATTGCGGGTCTACGTAATGTGCATTCTCGGCACGGGGGCAGCCTCTTTCGCCAGCGAGTGCGCTGTGACTGGCCCCAGCTCCTCTCCATGGTCCTCCAGCCTGGTCATGGAGCACGCTGTCTTCATGTTCGTCCACTGGCACGCCATACCCATGGGTATCTTCGTCCCCAAATGCTGCGGGGCAGACAGTGGGTTGGTGGTTAGATGGGTGGCTGTTGACCATGTTGGACATACTGTAGTTGCCCTCCTGGTGCTGGCATGGACCACTACGACAACTACGTCCTCGGGGTCGAACCCGTGTGGTTGGGCCTCGCATCCGCGAGGCGCTGAGAGTTGTCATGAACCTTTTTCTTTGTGCTCTCGATCGGGGGCAACTACCCTTTTGGACGAGCATGCCACGAAGGGCTACATGAACTGGGTCATCACGTATGGCCGGCCCGTCGAGGGCACTCACGTACACATAACATTACCTTATCATGATGCCCCATCGGGGGCGCGTAGGCGGTCACGACGTTCGCCTGCATGAACCGTCTCTTCGACATCCCTGTACCGCCGTTCTCGGCGACTGGCCTGCGCCCGCGGGATGGGTGGTATCCCTTCCCCGGTTGGCTACTGTGCCACTTTCTATTCTTCATCCTGGCTGTCGGAAGGTGCTCATGCCATGGGATCGTGCCGACGCCCGCGAGATGGGTGGGTAATCCCTTCCCAGGTTGGCGCCTTCAGCGTGGAGTCAGAGGCCTAGACACGCACTTCTACTTCGTCGGCACCCCAGGGCGTTGCGTACTCTATAAATCGCTGGTCGTTGAGTTCTCATCTGTCCCACGGCCGACTTCATTATGTTCCTTTCCTTTGGCGAAGTTCTTCTCCTGCATGTCCATCGGCGGCTACATGGCCGGCGGGTGGTTGTCTTTGGCCACCAGCGCCGGGCTACACATGACAATGAATTCACACCCATGTTGGCGTGAACTACATCATCATGATGTTCAACTGTATCGAGACCTATTTCTTTTCGGTCATTTTCTTATTCGTACGTATGTGGACCCTAGGCCAGAGTCAGCCTGGTTCATATTCAGAAGTGGGCTGGTGCTGGCATGGTCGGGCTCTTGGATTCTCTGGAGGTCAGCGTTGTGTCTTCCAAATGTGGTATTGTATGTGGCTGGCTTGGCGTTTTGCCTGCGTGCAGCTTCCTAGTATCAACGTCATGGAGGTCATTTTGGGCTTCTTCGCGCACTGGCGCACGAGCTGGAACTCCCCGAGACGCCGTGGTGGAGGTGCAATCTGCTTGACCTGTGATTTCTGGATGCGTTGAGGGCGTTGAAGGAGGACGGCAGGGAGGGAGGAGGCTCGTCGTCGTCAACGTCGTCGTCGTCCTCCTCCTCCTCATCACCCCCCTTCTCCTTGTCCTCGTCCTCATCTTCCTCCTCCTCCTCCTCCTCCTCCTCCTCCTCCTCCTCCTCCTCCTCTTCCTCCTCCTCCTCCTACCCACCCCCCTTCACCTCGTCCTCGTCCTCGTGCTCGTCTTCCTCCTCCTCCTCCTCCTCCTCCTCCTCCTCCTCCTCGTCCTCGTCCTCCTCCTCCTTCTCCTCCTCCTCCTCCTCTTCCTCGTCCTCTTTCTCTTCCTCGTCCTCGTCCTCGTGTTCGTCCTCGTCCTCCTCCTCCTCCTCCTCCTCCTCCTCCTCCTCCTCCTCCTCCTCCTCCTCCCATCGCTCCCAGGAGCCCAGGGAGCCCCTGGCCCTCTTGCCTTGAGAGGGACGCGGCGGGGAAGCGGGGCCCGACCTCTGGGCGCTCCCGCGGTCCTCTCCACCATCCCAGGAGCCCGCGGAGCCCCCGAAGCCCATCCTGCCTGCAGGATCTGCAGGGGAAACGGCGGGGGAGCGGGACCTGGCCTCGAGAGCCTTCCACGGCGGCCTGCTCTTCATGTTGCGGTACTTGTTGACCTTGGCAGTGAACTGCAGCTGCACCTCCAGCCACACCTTGCCGGCACTCTGCCGCCCCCCTCGCTCGTGGTCGTCCATCTCCCCCACCTCCTCCTCCTCCTCCTCCTCCTCCTCCTCCTCCTCCTCCTCCTCCTCCTCCTCCTCCTCCTCCTCCTCCTCCTCTTGCTCCTGCTCCTCCTCCTCCTCCTCCTCCTCCTCGTCCTCCTCGTCCTCCCCGTCTCCCTGCCACTCCTCATCGTCCTCCTAATTAGTCATAGTCCTCCTCGTCCTTCTAGCCCTAGACCTAGCCCTAGACCTTCTCGTCCTCCCCCTCCACCTCCTCGTCTTCCTCCTCCACCTCTTGATCCTCATCCTCCTCCACCTTCTCGTCTTCCTCCTGCTCCTCCTCCTCCTCCTCCTCCTCCTCCTCCTGCTCCTCCTCCGCATCATCATCAGCATCATCATCATCATCATCATCATCATCATCATCATCATCATCATCCTCATCAGCATCATCATCATCATAATCATCATCATCAGCAGCATCATCATCAGCATCATCGTCATCAGCAGCAGCATCATCACCATCATCATCATCATCAGCATCATCTTCATCATCATCATCTTCATCATCATCAGCATCATGATCATCATCAGCATCATCAGCATCATCATCATCATTATCATCATCATCGTCATCGACATCGTCATCGTCATCATCATCATCAGCAGCATCATCGTCGTCATCATCATAATCAGTATCCTCCTCCTGACATCCTCCCCGTCCTTCTCCTCCTCATCTCCCTCCCCCTCTTTCCTCCACCCGCCACCCACTTCATCCTCCTCCTCCTCCTCCTCCTGCTCCTGCCCCCCCCGACGCTGGCCAGGCGCCCCCGCCTTGGTGAGCAGCTGGCGGCAGGCGTGCTTGAGGCTCTCGCACGCGGCCATGAAGAGCACGGGAGCAGCACACTGCGTGACGGGCGCCTCCCGCTCGAGGGCCGCTATCTTCGTCGTCGTCGTCGTCGACGTCGTCGTCCGACGTCAGTCGTGCGTCGTCTTCCGTCGAGGTCCGTCTTCGTCGCCGTCCGTCGTCGTGTTCTAGAGCATCGAGACCTCTGGGGTTCGCGGATTGACGACGACGACGATGACGACGCCGTCGACGACAGGACACAAGAGCGGAGCACTGCGTGAAGAGCGCCTGCCGCCCGACGCCGACGTCGCTACGACTACGACAGCAGCTACGGCGGCGATGGCAGCTGCGCCACTCGTCCTCGGGGCCTGTCTGACTACCTACCTACCAAACCACCCCGGCCCAACCCGAAGACCCAACATCCGGGTTGGGGGGGCACGGGTTCCACATGGGTTGTTGTTGCCATGTTCCCCGACGCCCCCCCCACTGGGAATGGAGGGCAAAGTAGGGCTTGCGGTCTGAGTTGGGGTGGTTCGGTGGGTGGTAACAGTCATGGCGTTCACACCAGTTCAGAAGAGGGCCGAGCGCAGTGCTTGCGCTATCGTGCTGGACAACGCCGTCTACTTCGAATGAATGGCCTTCAGGTGCGACCCGCCCTGGCCCCGGCAGCGCAAAGGATGGCGCGCAACACTCCTCCCCCCTTCCACTGACACACCGTCCCCTCTGTTTTACAAACATACAGCCTGCTCTCCTCACTTCTCCTCTTGCCCCCTCCCCATCTCCTCCCGCATCCGTCCTTCTCGTCCTCCCTCCTCCGCGCCCATTGTCCCGCTTCCCTCCGCCTTGTCCTCATTCGCCTCCCCTTCTCCTTGCTGGTCCCTGCCTCATGCTTTCTCCCTCCCGCCTCCGTCGGCAAGCGTAAGCAATGATGCTCACTGCATGTGTTGCGTGGGTGCCGTCTGGCCTCGCCCGTCCCGGAAGCCCATATTTCGTACAACATGCTGTCAGGGAAGGCGCCGAAGGGGCGTGATGGGTCGAAGGCGTCCGGCTTCTCGCTCACCATTCCTTTTGCACAGCGGCACCGCTTCAAAGGTCACAACAGCGCTGGCAGGTGTCGGCCATCCCAGACTGCCGCAGCATGGGCACGCGACCCGATCCTGCCCCCGTCCTACGACATCCTCCCTCTTCTGCTCCTCCTTCTCCTCCTCTTCCTCCTCTTTTTCCTCCTCCTCCTCCTCCTCCTCCTCCTCCTCCTCCTCCTCCTCCTCCTCCTCCTCCTCCTCCATTCCTTCTCCTTATAGATAACTTCTCCATGTGGCACCTCGAGGCTAGTTTTTAGTGGGGTCCAGGCGTTTCGCCTGCGACCTCCTCACCGTTATGACCCTGAAACTTCAACGCTGACAACAGCTTCTCGGATTGAGGGCGGGTCGTTTTCAAACATTGGCTCTCCCCGTAGCGCCACGCACATTGATTTAAATCAGTTGCAAGAGCTTCACGGATTGAGGGCGGCTCGTTGTCAAAATGAGGCTCTCGCCTTAGCGCCGCGCGCGCAAGAATTTCACGGACCGAGGGCGGTTCCTTTTCAAAATATGGCTCTCGCCTTAGCGCCGCGTGCATTCGTTGTATTTTTGTTTTGGGGAATTTGCAAGATGTTGACGGATTGAGGGCGGCTCCTTTTCGAAATGTGGGTCTCGCCATAGCGACGCGCACCTCCTTTTTTTTGAATTTGCAAGAGTTTCACGGGTTCGAGTGTTCAGCGTACCAGAACTGGTGTTTTGGAAGGATTCAGGATTATAAGGGTGCGACAGTTACGTTGGCTCGCGGTGCTGAAGTCCCAGGAATGGCGTTCTCTCACGATTCAGGATCGTCAAGACGCAACAGTCAGGTTGATCCGTAGCGTTGGAACCCAGAGAACGATGTTATGGCATGCGTAAGGGTGTTCAAACGGTTGCTCTCCAATGAGGCAGTCTCCTGTGGAAATGAACCCTGGTAGGAGCCTATGAAGAGGGAGCTTGGAGGGAGGGTTTATTCCAGCATCGTTGATGCCTCTTGGGTTACACTGGTCCTCCTCCCCCTCCTCCTCCCGTCCTCCGACGACTACTCCTGGTTCCCCGACTCCCCTCTCGTAGGTGGGTCAAACCCAGAAAAGGAGGGGGTGAGGGTCAGCCCGTCGACCCCCGCAAGACAGACCTGGCGCGCACATCTGAGGCCTGCGGGAGGGCCTCTGCGAAGCGCTGGAGGGGGCGGCATCCGGGGTGACGGCTGCTGCACCTCTTCCACGTGCGAGCATGTCGCTTTCAGAAGATCCCCCCCCTGAGGCCGTAGTACGATTACTCTTCCCGCGGGGCAGGGATCGGGCGATCCATCCGTTGCAGATGGCTAGCGGCGCAGAACGAGTTACGGGCACCTTCTTACCTGACAGCGATCAGTCCGTGGATGTCCCTCCCACGGCCCAGAGCCAGAGGAAGGAGAGGTCGGGACGAACGGAAAAGAATTCAAACGGGTAGTCGGAGAGATCGGGATAGAGGGAGTGAAACGCACGAGTAAGCATGTGCGCAGGCTGCGCAGACGTGAACGCACATGAGAATGGTCTGTAAGATGTGCTGAAAGCGGTTGGAAAGCGGGTTGCTACTACACTGTAGACAGACGCATAGATGCATACTAAGCTTAACACAAGCCATGTGTACAGACTTGACCTTGGCAGTCGCGACTTATCATACAAGTTACGATTGATTGGCGATCGGATACGTCCTTGTAGTGTACTTCTGGCCAAACACATGGGTCAACTTGGAGCACCAAGAACATGAATTTGGACCTGCCCCTATGCCAGCTCCAACGGGTCCGAGCATTGCGGACACTACTAACCATTCTCGTGACGGCGAGGTTGGCACATCCCCAGCTGGTTTCTTGAGTGGCCATGTTTGGGGGGGTCGCCGGCTCAGTGGAGGGGGGGACATCTTGAGCAGGGGTCGACCGCCCCGGCATTCCTATAGGCCTACCACGACATGTTCTTGGAACCCAGGAATGTTCAAAAACGAGAATAATTTTCTTAGGACATAAGCCCGATGAGTCAAAGCAAGACAGCCTCAGCCAGAACCGTTCTGAGAGCACTCCGCGCAGACCACAAAACGTTCTTAGAACAGTCTTTGGTGGGCCTATAAGCGAGCCAGGACGCTTCGCCACTGCTTGAATGGCGACTTTTCGGCTGCACGCAAGAGTGACTCTAGGCAAAAGTGACCTTTGGTGCGCGGCTCCTGGGGGGTCGAGGGAGCCGACCCCATGGCCGCAGGCCGCTGCCATCGCATGGCTCTCAGGCCCCTCTGGGCCCGCACCACAGGTCATTCCGGCGAAGGGTCACTCTTACGTGTAGTCGAACGTTGGGGGGGACGAGGAGGGGGACCGGCTCAGTGGAGAGGGGGGGGGGCATCGCGCTGGAGAATCGGCGACACCTCGCCGACAGCTCGGCGATGGAGGCCCTCGACAGCAAATTTCTCCGCCTGTTCCCGGGCCGGCGGGGTGGACTCTCGTCGGGCCCTGTGATCGGCCCTGCGTGGGCGACGGGGGGGGGTCGATGCCTCCTCCCCAGAGAGCCCATTCCCCCCCGCAGCGCTGCCCCGCAGCCCTGGGCATCGATTAACCGATCCCTATCCCCACTGGCGTTGCCTGGGCCCCACTGGCCGATGCACTCCCCTGGATGGGGATGTAGGCTGTTCGCTTCGGGTTTCGAGAGGCATATTCCCAACTGGGGTGGTACGATGGTGGGGATAGGGACAGGGATCAGGATGCCCGTGTTACTACCCCTGTTACTGCACCGACCTTGCAGACGTGATGCAGCGGATGTTTGCGTGGATTTCGGTCGACGCAAAAGCCCTAAACGGCGAGCGAAAAACAAAGCGAATTCCGCGTGGATTTTTGTTAGTCTTCCTTCCTGGCCAACAAAAACGCGCACAAAACACACCTCGAAATCCGGAACGAAATTTTCCAGGACACCACGGGCCCATCCTATTCTTTTCCGAATGAAATCCGCTCTACGATGTTGGCATCATGACCCCCCGCAACGCTGCCCCTGAGTCCTGGACGACACCAGTCGTCCCCGGAGAGCCCACTCGGCGAGAGCCGCGTGGCAGCTGACGCCGCCGGCCCGGCGCTCCAGGAACCCTCCCGAGGACCTTGAGATGGATCCTCTGGCACGCCCGAGATGTGTACGGAGAAGTAATTCATGCCAAGCGCACACGTTGTCCAAAAACCAACAGCGGCACCTGCTCTCTGTACCGGGTCCACACCACCCGTGGCGACGCCGACAGCGAGTCCCGTTCAGAATGAACAGAAATTGCTGTCAATGTTCGTCCCGATTCTTTCCCAACGCATCTCTATCGTGCAGATCCTCCGCTGAGGACCCCCCGAAACCCTTGGCTCCTGACGGGAGCCTTCGTTAGGAACCCTCGTTGAGGAACCCTTGAAGTCCTTCGTTGGGGAACTCTTCGAAATCCTTCGACCATGGAGAGACAAACAACTGCATAACCAAAAACTTTCGGCGGTTCGCGGCGATTTCTTGGATCGGCGCTGGACCCCCGTCCCCGGAAGGCGTAGCGCGGCAGGGGCGGCGCCGGAGGATCCAAGACATCCGCGCGGACCCTTGCAAATTTTATACTCATGCTGCGTCCTCTTTCGGAAATCTCCTGACTGACCCGGGTCGATCCAAACACCTGGATCAATCAGGCCTTGCTGGATCCTGCTAGATCCTAGAGAAGATCCTGGAAGATCCTGCGCCATACCCGGGTCAGCGCACCCCTGGCTCTGCAGGATCCTGTAAGATCCAGCGCTCTTGCTGACCCCAGTTTCGTTGGCGAGCCCAAGGGGGAACACATAAGAAGGAGAAGGCCTTCTTAGAAGGCTCAGAATTCCCCCAGCCTCCTAAGAAGACTTCTAATCTTTCCACCAAGACACAGAACACTTCTCAGAAGGCGCGAGGGCTTCTGAGAAGTCCCGCCGCATGCTGAGAGGGCCTTCTCCTTAAATGGGTACGGAAAACATTGAAAACATGGGTACAATACCCAACAACACATGTTGTCCAAAGCCGATAGCGGCCGCTGGTGGGCAGGCGGCTTTATGTCTTCAGTGAACGACGTCCGCGGCGACGCGGACAGCGAGTCTTGTTCAAAATGATGAAGAGCTGCTGTTCGGCATCGTTCCCATCCTTCCCGTACCCACCTCGATCGCCCCGATCTTCGAGCCGAAGAGCCCAGCCCTGCGCAGGGAGCGAAGCGCCTTGGCCGCCGTGGCGGCGAAGAGCGTCCGCCAGAGCACGCGGGTGCAGAGCACGCCGGCCTGCCACGAAGTCTGCGGCCGCGCCGAGGTGCTCGACCTCGCGGGGGGTTGCCCCCGACCCCACCCCGCTGCTCCAGCTCCTCGGGATCCTGCCCCTGCTCGTTGTGCGCCTGCTCCTCCGCTTCCTCCTCCTCCGGCTCCTCCTCGTCCTCCTCCTCCTCCTCCTCCTCCTCCTTGGTCTCTTCTTCGTTCCCCTCCTCCTCTTCCTTCTTGTTGGTTTCCCTTTCGCAAGCATTTGGCATCACGGATCCCTCTAGTAGCACGCTCGGAAACGATGTCCGACGCCTTCTCGTCCAACCCCACACTTTCTCTTTTCCGACCTCCCTTTTAGCGAATCCATGCGTGACTCAAATGGCCCCCATAGGCAGGAGTATACTTCCCGCCTGCGGAGAGAGAGGGGTTTGGGCCCAAGTTGCCTAGCAGAGCTGAGCAAACCCAAAGGGCAATATAGTTCTGCATGAGTGGGCTACGTCGAATTGCTCGTTCTCGATCTCGGTCGCGTTCTCGTTCTCGTTCCAATCCTTGTCATGTTCCTCATCGCCTTCTCCCTCCTCCCCCTCATACCCCCCTCCTCCTCCTCCTTCTCCTCCTCCTCCTCCTCCTCCTCCTCCTCCTCCTCACCTCTTCCTCCCCATTTCACACCTGGAAGCATGTAGCCAACGATCGCACAACGATGGAGAAATAAGGCTGAAATGGTGCATCAGGGACATCCACTGGTGGTGCACATCTGGGACGCCAGGCAATACAACATAAACAACATGATTTGTCGCCTCGGTGTTGAATCACTGTCTAGCCCCCCCGAGTCAATGACCTCGAGTCCCTTCGGAGCAGAGACTACGGAAACGCTCACTCCATGTGAGATCCATCGGCGTGGATAAATCGTGTAGGCTCGAAGGCAACGTGCATCCACGCACTTAGAGCCCGTGACGGTAACCCTAGAAAGCAAACAGTGCCCCCCCTGGCGAGATCGCCAGAAACGCATACTTGTATTCGGCGGCGCCCTCCCAGGGGGGCGATGCCGTCAGCACCAAGCGACAAAACAAGTGTTGCTGGCCGCTCGCCCGGGGCCCAGCTGAACGAGGAACATCGAAAGACCATGATCCCATGATCGTTACAAATGGGGTGTCAAGCGGAAATGGCCGGAGCCCTCAAGTAAGGCCAGGGGCTGCAAAGAAACACCCAGAGGAGCGGCAGGGGAAACCAACGCGACACTCGAGGCTATCACCAGAAGACCAAGAGCTCAGTTGTAGAACCACCCTATAGCTGGAACCAATGGCCTGGCGATGTGGCGGATTGTCACGCCTCCCTTCTGCAGCAGGCCACGTCTGACATCCATCAGCTCTGAACCAGTCACACGGTGAGGGCATTGGATAAGGCACCAATGGACACGGAGTACAGGGTCTCTAAGCCAGTGGGACTTCGATCGTGGATTGGCCATGGATATCACCGACGCCCTTCTTAGATAAGGAACACGTGTGTGGATGCAGAATGGGCGAGCCCACGTTGCCAACCCTCGGTTGCCCAAGCACATACCTTTGCCCTGGCGTGGCCAGCACCTGGAACGCCTTCTTGAACCCATGCGCCTCACAAGATCATGGGGGCAAAGCCCTGCTGGCCATGAATTGTTGTCGCCGTTCTGGATATAATTCTGCCGCTGAGCCGCAGTGGCGCACGGGCTTCGTAGACAGAGCTGCGCACAGAGCTGGCTGCAGACAACCCGTGGCCGTAACTCCTGCCGACTGCGTCGACTTACAGAAGCGGCTTGCTTTACCGAGTTGGCTTGCTGAGACGGCCTGCAGAATCGATGCAACGACCAGGTTGGCCGAGCCAATTCACCGCCGAGGCGTTCTGTAGACACTCTTTCCACCAAGTCGGCTTGCCGAGACGATCGGTTCACCGAGACGACTGGGAACATCCAGATTCAAGCAAACTAAAACTGCGCGCGCTTCGCGCTTAGCTTCTACCCAGGCACAAGCACAGAGTGTGTGCTGAAACCATGGAGACGGTGGGGAGAAGTACAGACAGGGAAACGATGATTCACGGAGGACAAGGAATCAGGAGCACTGCGATCACATGGGGAACATGATCAGGGGACGGGCGAGGGGAAGGCCCGAAGGCGCACGAGCACGAGCGAGGGAAACGGGAGGGAAGCAGACGGGACGGGGGGGCAGAGGGGAGGCAAGAGGGCGGGAGCAAGGCTGGTCGGAGGAGCGACGAAGGAGCCGGAATCCGCAGTCGTCGTCGTCGTCGTCGTTCAGGGTCGGCGGCACTGGCCGTAAGGCCTCTCCAAACTATTACGGGAGGTGGCAACAGACTGCCGGGTCACGGCCTCCGTCCCCGAGGGGCAGGCGCATCGTCACATGATACCAGTTCGATCCATTGCGCGTGCGCTGCGCGCGCTACTGTTCTAGCCGGCTTGGGCGCCGAGGCCAAACGCGGAAGATGAGCCATGACATGACATTCCAGACTCGTCAGGTGTCGATGGCCTCTTAGGGTCATAGTGTTGGCGGTCGACGGCCTCTTCCGGAGACGCCGTGAAGCTACGTCGGCCAGAAGCTGGAGACCCGATCATTCGTCAAATATACACGGCCCGTGCCCTTCCGAGGGACGCGACGAGTCCAACGGTTGCACAAACCGGCTGCTGCAGAAGAAGCTACGCAACGCCGCTGTTCAGATGCTAAATGATAATTGCAACAATCCGAGCTGGGAAGGGAACGCTACAATCACAGCGGACCCTTGGGGTGAGCACGCGTAACCAACATGAGGAGTGATCAAATTGGGCGAGGGAGCGCGTGCGAACCCTCACCCAATGTGGCCACACGTGCAAGTCCCTGTAGGGCACAATGCACGTGAGGGGTACGTTGAACTGGGCAGGCCAATGCCTTGCATTGGGAACTCTCCTGTCGGGCCGCTGGCCGAGCTTTCTATAATGCACGTTCCATTGCAAAAGTGCGCCGAAATGGGCGGGATTACGCCTGCGAGCCCTTCTACTCGAGCCGGAGGTATAGCTCCCTACGGGGCGTGATACGCGTGAGGGGTGCGCCGACACGCCATGCGAACCCCCCGCTGGGGCCACACGTGAAGCTCCAAGCAGGCGAAGAGGAGGATTCGGCGGAGGGTGTGGGCCCGATTGGTCACGCATATGAACTGGAAATCGGCAGGGTCAACGGTCAACGGTCTTGTCATAGTAGGGCCAGCGGGGGGGCGGCACGTTGGCGCCGTGACGCCACTCTGCTGTACAGTCCCACGAGCAAGCAGTCCATGTGGAACAGAGTCGACACACAGATCATGCTGGATCATGCTCGTGACAGAAGTCCGTAGGGGAGAGGTGGAAGCATGGGCCAAGATGGGAAGCAGAGCAGGGAGTGGACAAGAAGGGAAGAAGGGGTAGCGGGGGAGAGGGAGGAGGTCCGTCGGGCGACCTAGAAAAAGAGAGAACAGAGACACGGCAGATGAGCAAGGGCGCGAGATGTGGAGCGGTATAGGAAACAGACGAGAAAAGAAACCGAGGCTTTGAACTAGGACGAGTCGGCTGCGAGCGGGAGGGGCAGGAAGCCCGATGGGCCTCAACTTCGTCGCAGGCTTCGCCATGGGATCCGAGGTCACCTGCCAAAGTGCAAACCTCCTGCTCACCGCGTGCACGTCCTCTTTATTATGCATGAGTATCTCGCTGTCTCTCTCTCTCTCTCTGTCTCTCTCTCTCTCTCTCTCTCTTTCTCTCTCTGCCTCTCTGATTCTCCTTCTCTCGCTCTTTTTGGGTGTCTCTCTCTCTCTCTCTCTCTTCCTTTCTCTCCCTCTCTGCCTCGGAACCCCCAAGTGGTCCCGCGCATGCACCGTCCCTGCCGACCCTCCCTAGGCCGACCCGGCCCTGAGACCCTCGGGACATCTTGCGTGAGATGGCCCCCCAGCGGGGCCGGGAAGAGGTGAGGCAGCCGGGAGGCGCCGTGACACGTCTGGCACCTGGGCCAGGGACGCGCGATCGGAGCGAGGAGGGCGGGAGGAGGGCCGTCTCGGGACCAGCGGGCCCTCCACCAGACGAGCGCACCTTCGCCCAGACCAGCGGCCCCCTCCGGTCCGTTCCCGCGGAGCGAGGACAGCGGGACCAGGGCCCTTCCGGGACCAGCGGGCCCTCCACCAGACGAGCGCGCACTCGCCCGGACCAGCGGCCCCCGCCAGTCCGTTCCTGCGGTCGGGGAACGAAGGGCAGGAGAGGAGGCGGCCACGGCGCACAGCAGTAGCTCACAGCGTGACAGCGTGCCATACTCAAGCCAGGAGCAGCGCGCGCACCTGCTCGCACTGGGCGGGCCCGTGGGCTGCACCACGGCCTTGGACTGGCGGCGAGCGCGGGGGGGAAGCCCGAGAAGGGGCGGGCCTTCCCTTAGGTCGGGCACGTCCCCCTACAGGGTTTTTCGGGGCGAGAAATCAAACATAGCCCAAACATGCTCCAACATGGCCAAACACAGTCAGAAAATCCTCCCCGAACTATTTGTTCGACCGTTTTGGGATACTCCTCCTGTAGAGGGACACGCCCGACTTAAAAGCCTTCCCAGCAAACACCGGAAGCTCATCAGAAGGCGCGGGTGGGCCTCTGAGGAGTCCCTCCCTTTGTGGGCCCCAGAAACGGCAGGCCCGTTTTTTCACCGTTTCCAAAGAAGTGCCCCTTGAAAATGGAAAAAGTAAAAAAAACGGCGACCGGAAACAGCCAAAAAACGGCTCCAGGACTGGAACCGGAGCCGGAACCGGTCAAAAAACGGCGACGGAACCGGTAAAACAACGGCGTCGGAACGGGCAACAAAAACGGCAGAACGGAACCGGTAAAAAAACGGCCCTGCCGTTTCCAGGGCCCACTGAGGTCCCGCCGCCTGCTGCGAAGGACCGGCCCCCTCCTTCCGAGTTCCCCCCCATTGGCCCGCCGCCGATCGGAGAGTCGGGGGGGCGCAGCAAAGATGGATGAACGATCCATGGATGTGGCGCGCGGTCGCAGACGTAGAGGGAGAAGGACAAGGGCAAGGACAAGGAGAAGGAGAAGGAGGAGGAGGAAGAGAAGGAGGAAGGAGGAAGGAGAAGAAGGAATGAGAAGGACAAGGAGAAGGAGAAGAACAAGGAAAAGGAGGACAAGGAGACAAGGAGAAGGAGAAGGAGAAAGCGAAGGGAACGGAGGAGGCAAGCACCGCCGAGTTAACACGGGACGACGCTCCCCCCCACCCCGGCGTCCGTTCGACAACCCCCTCCCCAAGGTGCGGCCAGTTCCGCCTCGCTCGGCGGCGGAACTCCGCGATTGCCCATGGAAGCGGGGCCCGTCGCTAAGCCGCGCCCCCTCGACGCAGGGCTCTTCAGCCAAACCGTTGGAGCGACCACTCGTGCTTACGCAGAGGAAGCTGCAGCGTATCAACTCACATCTGCAACTGTTTCTGTTTACATGCCTGTTTCTTCTTCGATGAGAGCGAGAACTGCAGGGACTGCACATCCCCCCGCGCCTCTGGGCGGTGGGCAAGCCTGCCTCCCACTAGCATTTCGTAAACCACCCTCTGATGAAAACGGCCCAAGGCCGACACCGACGGACCTGGACCCGCAAACACGGCGGCAGCGATGCCCCCTCGCGAACTGACAACGGCCACTTCGCTGATCGACGCGTCAGGATAGGATTAAGGCGGGCCTGTCCCCCTACAGGGGGGTTTTCGACGAAAAAAAAAAAAAAAAAAAACACCAAACATAATTAAACAAATAATCCAAAAATAGTCTGGGGACCATTTCCCAAATATTTGTTGGCCTTTTTGGGGCATTTTTGGGTTCTCAGCAAATCTCTGAAACAAATCATCGACAATCCCCCTGTAGGGGGGGCAGGCCCGACTGAAGGGCAGGAGATCTGTCAACACCTCCCCGCCTGGAGCGGGGCACGCGCCACGCGCCTGCTCACCGCGGGGGGGGAGGGGGGGGGGCTCCGGGGCGGCCCGCCGAGGGCGCTCCGCGCGGGACCCCCCCCCGAGGGGGACCGCCGCGGGGGGCCGCCGAGGACGAGGGCCCCGACGAGGCCGCCATGAAGGGGGTCCGACGAGGGCCCCGACGAGGCCGCCGGAAGGGGCCCGCCGACGAGGGCCCCGACGAGGCCGCCGAGGGGACGGGCCCGACCGAACCTCAGGCGCAGCGCCTGGGGTCAGGTCGGGCACGTTCCCCGGCAGGCGGACTTCTGGGAGAGAGCCACAAAAACACAGCCCAAAACATACATGTGCGAACAGAAGCGAACATAGTGACAACAGCACGTCCCCCGACTCTATGTGTTCACTGCCTTGGAATACTCCTCCTCTAGAGGCCCGCGCGCCCGCCCGCGCGGGAGCGGGCGCCCACCCTCGCGCGCGTCGCCCCGCCCTCGCTTGGCGGCGCCCGCGGGTCGGGCGGGGGGTGCTCTCCTCCTCCTCCTCCTCCTCCTCCTCCTCCTCCTCCCCCTCCTCCCCCTCCTCCTCCTCCTCCTCCTCATCCTCCTTCCCCTCCTCCTCCCCCTCCTCCAATTCCTCCTCCTCACCGCGCCGCCCCACGCCCCCTGCCGCGCCTCGTGTCGGGAGGCATCCGCCGCTCCACGAGGGCCCCGCCGCCCCCTCTCGGGGACGCCCCCTCGCGTCCAGCCTTTGAAGGACGGGCACGTCCCCCTACAGGCGGATCTTGGAAGAAACATTAGGCATAGTACACACATGATCCACAAGACTCAAGAAATGCTTACAAAAAAAAGTCCCCCAACTACGTTTGGAATATTCTTGAATTTTCCTCCTGTGGAGAGGCACGCCCGACTTCAGTCCAGCCCCCCCTCACCCGCCCTCCCTTCCTACTCCCCTGGGGGCGGGGCGATATGCAAGAGCTGCCACAACTGGCGTCGAGCTTGAAGGTCCACACTTGCGGTCTCTCCAACCGTGGACAGACCCCCGGACATCATTGATGTACTCCCAAGTGGTTTTTCCACCGAGTGGTTGTTCCACCGAATCTACGGCATAAAAACGCAGGACTCTGCTTAGATCTAAAGGGGGTTCCACGTTTTCCTCTCACAGATCCGACAGACAACAAGTTTGGGGTAAACCGATGTGGTAACCGATCCCTTTCTCGAAGCTTGACGCTCCCTCCTGCCGCATCGATCCCGTCCGCGCCCTCCTCGTCCCGCCGGGCGCTCCGGGGCGCGCGGGAGGACTGGGGAGGCGGGCCGAGGAGGGGCACGGGCTGCAGGGCAGGAAGGCCCCCCGCGGGCTGCAGAGCAGGAAGGCCCCCCCCCAGGAGGGGCCGGGGCGGCAGGGGCGGGGCGGGGTGGTGGGGGGCATCGGAGCGCAGCTCCGCTGCTCGCCTGGCGCGGAGGGCGCCAGCACCGCAGGGGGGGGGGAGGGGAGGGCGGGGAGGAGAGGGGAGGGCGGCGCAGAAGAGGAGGCTCACGGCCCGGCGGCAGAAGGTCCGAAGCAGCACAGCTACGTCATGGACATCGGGAGTCGTGCGGCAGCGTGCACAGCTTGTGGACGATGCGGGCAGAAAATGCGGGAGGACATGCGGGATGCGGTGCAAGATACCACAGAAGGGAGACTGCAAGGGGCAAGACAAAACGTGCGCGAGAGCACGCGGGAGACCGACCATACGGGAGGACACGCGGCAGACCACGCAGGAAACCCACACGGGAGACAACACGGGGGACCGTGCAGGAGCGAGCAAGTACTGGAGACATGCGGGATCGGGACACCATACTACCATACGCTAGGCAGCGGGCCACCGATTCCAGATCCGGAAGGGCCCCACACGTGCCTCGAGAACAGAGCGAAGACGCCATAGACTTCTTTGGCGTCGGCGGCCAGGCAGGGGACGCGTGCGCTGGGGATGGGATGCCCACACGGGGGTGCCGTTCGAGCGAAGCGTGCCACCACGCAAAGAGGAGGAGGGTGGGGGAGGCGAGGCCGAAAAAGGGGCGGACGGAGCGAGCGGCTCAGGGGGGACGGGTCGCTCCCCCAAGACTCCAGAAACATAGATGCGAGCCAGGGGCGGCGCCGGAGGCGCCGCCAGGGGGGGTCAGGCGCCGATCCCAAGAATCCGCGCGGACATGTCCACGCCGCTCTTCTTCTTCGTCGTCAAGGAGGCAGCAAAGGGGGGGGGGGAGGGAGTCGGGGCGAAGACGGGGGGCGGCGGCAAGGGGGTGGAGAGGCGACGGCGAGGGCAAGGAGGGCGAGGGGGAGGGCGAGCGAGCGAGCGATGGGGGCCGGTGCAGGCTCCTGCGGCGAAGCGCGCGCGTGTTCCCGTGCCCGCTAGGGCCAGGCGCGCGAGGCCGTGCCCCCCCCCCAAAAAAAAAAACCGCTGAGCTCTGACGTCGGGCGTCGGCCTGCACCGTGCACCGCGTGGGTGCCGCAGGGAGGGGCCGAAGCGCCCGGACAGTGCAAGAGGGCGAGGGGGAGGGGAGTCATTGGGGAGGCGGATGGGGCGATCGACACGGGCTCGGAGAGAAGGGCTAAGCTGCAGACGGAGAAGGCCTCCTCCTCCTCCTCCTCCTCCTCCTCCTCCTCCTCCTCGACATGGGACGATCGACATGGGTACACGGGACGACCGACATGGGGAGGGGAGGGGAGTCGTTGGGGAGAGGGGGCCGAGGGGGAGGCGGAGGGGAGCCGTCGGGGAGGGGGAGGGGGGAGGAGAGATCTGTCCTGCCTGATTTGTTCCATGGGACATCCACTTCGGCACCGCCTGCAAACCCTGGGCTTCGCCCACTCCGGCCGCCTGAGGCCCCGCCTTCCTGTGCCCTGTCTCCCAAATTAAAGCCGTGCGTAGCCCGCCTAGCTTTTAGCGGAAGGGGTTCGCTCTCGCACCGCAGATCAAACACTGTTTTGTTCCATGGCATGAGGAGCTCTGCGTCCTCACCTCGCCGACCCCACGCCGCACGCGGGGGGGGGGGCGTCTCGGCCAGCCGCGTCGCCTCCTGCCGCGTCTTCATGCAGATCACGTGGCACGCGCTGGCCAGGTGCTCCTGCCCGGCCCGCGAGGGAGGCGCGGCGCATCGCGGCGGGTCGTTGGAGCGACGAGGTGAGTACCCAGCGGTCGGGAGAAGTATTAGGTCGGACGTGTCCCCCTACAGGCGGAGCTTGGACGAAAAAATAGAACATGTCAATCCATGCTGTCTATATACAATAATCGTCCCCATAGAACCTTTGAACCATTTTTGAATATTCCTCCCGCAGAGGGACACGCCCGACGTCAAAGAAGTAGGTAGAAGCATGGCGTAGGAAGGCGTCGGAGTAGATTGGGTGTCCGCCCGCCCCCTCGGGAGGACGGACAGGGCGAAGCCACTCGATCCTTGGAGTAGGGGGGCGCTCAGAGTAGACCGGAGCATGGGAATCCCAGCATGCCTACCTCCAACGACCGAGGGGTCCTTGCGCGCCGCCCCTGGCCGGGCCCGCTCTGGGCCCAGGAGCGGTGCGTGCGACCCCCCGGCTTGGCCAGGCAGGCATGCACGCCCTGGGCGGCGCGCAGAAGGGGGGCGGCATGGGGGGAGGGGGAGAGGCTTCTCCGAAGGAGGCTGCTTCTTGGAAGGCGCTGGCCTCACAGCTAAACAGAAGGTCCGCGCCTTCTAGGAGGCAGGGGTGCTTCGAAGAAGCCTTCCCCCCTCCCCATGCCCTCCATTGCGCGCGGCCGAGAGTATACGATCCCCTGGCTTGGCCAGGCAGGCATGCGCAACGATCCTGGGCCATAGGTCGGGCCTGGCCAGGAACGGTGCAGATATGCTTAGAACTCGTCGCCCGAGTCGTTGGGACCCTGAGGCGAAGCCGGACCTCCAACGGTTGGCGGGCTTGTTTTCCACCGCCACCACCATAAGTAGGAGGGGGAGGGGATCCTCCTCCTCCCCCTCCTCCTCCTCCTTCTCCTCTTCCTCCTCCTCATCCTCCTCCTCTCCTCCTTCTCCTCCTCCTGCTCCTCCACCTCCTTCCCCCCTCCAACTTCTGGTGGTGGTGGTGGTGGGAAACAGACCCACCATCCAGGGGACCCTCGAGGCGGCTCTTGCTCACCGCTTGGAGCCTCCTTGGGGGGAAATGGCGTCGGGCCCCCCTGTGGGGACGCAGCGAAAAAACGGCCCCGGGGTGAAAAAGATCAAGAGGTCCGGGGAGAGGGGGAGGAGGAGGAGGAGGAGGAGGAGCAGGAGGAGGAGGAGGAGGAGGAGGACGACGACAACGACGACGAGCCTCCTCCCTCCCTTCCTTCCCCTGGGGCCGTAAAACCCAGCCCCAGGCGAAAAGGATCATGAGGTCTTGGGAGGGCCATGTCCGAAAGACGAACCGCCGATGTCTGGGAGGGCAGGTCCCTAAGGGCTTGTCGACTTTTCGGCAATCGACTTGTGGGGGTCGAGCCAGGTAAATCTATGCAAACGGCAGACAAACCGAGGTAAATCCAGGTCAATCCAGGTACATCGAAATAGACACGGGTAGATCCAGGTAGATCCAGAGGAGTCTCCCGGGAAAGTCGGAGCAACTCGCGGCCGCTCCAGCTCGGGTCGAAGAACGGCCGAAGTCGTTAAGCCTTTAGCGAGCAGGATGACGGCCAGATCGAATCGGTTCGGGATGAAGGCAGGGCCCGGTATGTCTGAGAGCTGGCGGGTCATGGAGAGCGTGTCGAGCGCCGGCGGTCGATCTCCAAGGCGCTCCAGAAGGCTCGGCAGCACTTCGCGTAGGCGCAACGATCGGGGGGGACTGGCATATGGGGGGGTGCATCGACCTGGCATCGGGGCGACACATCGCGGTAGATCGGCGATTGGCCTCCGATAGTGAATCAGAACCTTCCTGGGCAGGTTGGGGCTATCGTGCCCGGCATCGGCGATCAATGGGCGATTGGGGGTCTATGCATCCCCCCCTATGCCTAGCCCCCCCTATCGTTGCCCCCGATTCGCACCCTCCTCGTCCTGGGCCCCCGAGAGAACTTTTTGTGTATACCCCCCATCAGGCTCCACCGCCCTGCGCCAGGTTTCGTACACCAAAGCCGCGCCCAGGGAAGGGACTCTTGTAAACAGTGGAAGCCAGTCCACGAGAAACCTTCCACAAGAAACCCAACCCTGAGACCCCATGACGTCCTTTGATGTTTGAGGTGGGAGCGTCACGCGCTCCATCGCAGAACCATCGAAACCCAACGAACCCAGGGCACCCCGGAGGCAAGCAGGGAGTTCCTTGGCACGGGCCCCCACTGCAATTATACCAGACCCGCGACCAGGACCCTCGCTGACCCCCTCGGCTTTTGGGTATGGCATCCAGGCGGAGTGGGTCTGCCCGAGGGTCCGCGGCAGGAAGCGGTGGATCCCTGGGGATGCGCTCTGGATCCTGCCATGCGCTGCCCCCCCCCTCGGGCGAAAGCCAGGCGGGCCCGCTACAGCCAGTGCGCTTCAGGGGGGGGGGATGGGTCCTCACGAGCGGCGAACCTACAGTCGACCCGTGTAATCGGGATGCGCGCTAAGGATGCAAGGGCCTTGGAAGGCCGTGTCGACACTTTGCGAGCGGGGCGCGGCCAGCGAATGCGGCCGAGGATGGGCCGAAGGGAGGGAAGGATGCAAGGGTACTCCCTTGGAAAATTGCTCATCCTTACTCGCGGGTTGACTACACCCAGACATGCGACTTCCCAATTTTTCAGGACGGCGTCCCCGGAAGTCCAGACCCTTTCCCTGGGACCGGTTTTCACCCCGAATCGTTTTGTTGACGGTCCCGGGGCCCAGCGAGGGCCTCCAGAGGCCGAAAAAGGCGACACACCTCCCTCCGTCCTGATTTTGTTGAACGACGCGAGCATGTCTGGGTATCTGCATCCGCGCCCTCGCTGTCTGGATTCTGGGGCGCGATGCCGCGGAGGCGCGGTCGCACGAGACGTCCCGCGCGGGGCCTCCGCGACAGCACGCCCTCCAAGTATACGCGGAGGCGTGTGGCTCAGCGGCCCCCGGCCCGCAAGGCCGCGGGCAGGTGCGGATACGATGTTGTCGCCGGCGAGGTACGGTCGGGAAGTGTTGCTCGGCGTGTCGCGGACTCCTCCCTCCTCCCTCCTCCCTCCTCCCTCCTCCCTCCCTCCCTCCCTCCCTCCCTCCCTCCCTCCCCCTCCCTCCCTCCCTCCCTCCTCCCTCCCTCCCTCCCTGCCTCCCTCCCTCCCTCCCTCCCTCCCTCCTCCCTCCTCCTCCTCCTCCCTCCTCCTCCTCCTCTCCTCCCTCCTCCTCCTCCTCTCTCCTCTCTCCTCTCTCTCCTCCTCCTCCTCCTCCTCCTCCTCCTCCTCCTCTCCTCCTCCTCCTCCTCCTCCTCCTCCTCCTCCTCCTCCTCCTCCCCCTCCTCCTCCTCCTCCTCCTCCTCCTTGCTCAGCGTGACGCGGCGGCGGCCCCGGCGACACGTTCCGCCATGCAAGCCGACGTGCCGCTTCGCTCCGCGGCGCGGGAGGCTGGGAAAAACTCGGGACGTTGACGGCTGGGGACTGCAGCGTGGCACGCGTGTCGCGCTGGAGCGTGGCGGCTGGGGACTGCAGCGTGGTTAGCGTATCGCGCTGGAGCGCTGCGGACCAGAACTGGCGGCGCGCCACGCGTAAGCAAACGCTATCGACCGCAGATCCAGAGGTTCAGAAAGTCAGGGTCGCATGTTCGATCCTGCGAATCCCACATCCTGTCCCTCTACAGGAGGAATCTTCAAAAATAGTACACAAATACTCGGGAAACGATGTTTGACTATGATTGATCATTTTTGTAAATGTTTGACTATGTTTCATTTGTCGTCTAAAATCCGCCTGTAAGAGGGACACGCCCGACCTAAGGTCAGGATCCCGAGCCCCATCCTCGCGCAAGCAGGCCCCAGATCCCATTCGAATGGCTCACGCTTCGGGTCCGCGACAGGTTCCGACCTCACCCCCTGACTTCTCTCATTCAGGATCCCCCTCTGGCAAAATCAAAGTAGTTCTTTGTCAGGGGCGTGGTTCGATTCGCTATGGGGTGTGATGTTCAGCTGCGCCACTGTCCAAGGGACTGCACACGTAGCAGCACCTCGACCCTTGGGGCCGGGTGCAGGGAAAAGGGATAGTGGTACCCCAACCTTCGAGATTCAAGAACATGGCCTGCGCACTTCCCATTAGAGCGGCATCGCAATGCCCCGCAGACCACAGGAGTTGTGTCTTCGAGCTGGGTGGGTCAGGCCCATATTGGCGATGAATGCCCTGATCCTCCTGCTCATCCCACGGCTCCCCCCCTCCCCGTCCTGCATGTCGGCTGAGAGCTTGCTCACCGGCAGCAGCCGCACCCGGGGGAACCAGGCGGGCCTCTTGCCGTCCTCGCGGCCCAGGAAGCCGGCAACGAAGGCGCAGCTCGTCAGGTAGGTCGCCTGCAGGGCGGGCTGCGTCGGTCTCCCCCCGTTTTGAAGAGAAAGTGCCCCGCGTCCAACCTCACATTCCTCCTCCCCCTCATCCCTCCTTCCTTCTCCCTGCGCGCCTCTGCTCTCCGCAGCAGTCTACAAATCCAGCACACTCCTCACATACTTCGTGGCCCCATAGGAGCTCTACCGAAGGCCCCAGTGGCGGTGTTCGCATGCGTCCCCGCACCCGATTCGGGACGTCCCTCACACATTTCGCGCTCGCTCGCTCGCTCGCTCGCTTGCTAGCTGCGTGCCTATCTAGGAGGCTCGGGCTCGCAGCCTGCACCCCTAGAGAAAGGGTGAGAAAAAGGGGAGCAAGACAGAGCCCTCGCCCCTGCCCGCCTCGAACATCTCGGCGGAGAGCGAGGCGGAGGAAACGAGAAAGAGGCCTTCTGAAAGGCGGCGGGACTTCTCAGAAGCCCTCGCGCATTGGATTTGCGTGTTGGGAGAAGGCTTTGAGAAACTCTGAAAATAACGGGGGACTTTCGAGCCTTCTGAGACGGCCCGCCCCGTCTCACTCCCTCTCCTCGCTCACTCCCCCTCCTCGCTCGCTCGCTCGCTTGTTACCTGCCTACCTACCTGAAGGCTCGGGCTCGCCGATTGCGCTCCAGAAAGAGGTGAGACAGAGGGGAACGGGACGGAGTCCTCGCCCGTGCCCCACTCGAACATGGTGTCCATGCCCGGGGTGGGGAAGGTGAGGAGGAAGGGCGCGCAGTGCAGGCGCCTCCGCCTCCTTCTCCTCCTCCTCCTCCTCCTCCTCCTCCTCCTCCTCCTCCTCCTCCTCCTCTTCGGGGGGGGGGGGGGCGGGCTGAGGCGCCGCCACCTCCTCCTCCTCCGCCTCCTCCTCCTCCTCTTCGGGGGGGGGGGGCGGGCTGAGGCGCCGCCTCCTCCTCCTCCTCCTCCTCCTACTCCGCCTCCTCCTCCTCCACCTCCTCATCCTCCGCCTCCTCCTCCGCTTCCTCTTCCTCGTCCTCCTTCTCCTCTTCCTCCTCCTCTATTCCTTTTCCTGATAACTAATTCATCCTTGTCGCACCTCGAGGCTGGTCGACAGGGCGGGCCGGGCATGACGCCCGAGACTTCCTCATCACTTATGACTCTGGAGCTTACAACTTGGCAACGGCTTCACGGATAGAGGCGTGTGGCTTTCAACATGTGGCTCTGGCCTCGGCGCTGCGCGCATTCGGGTTCGAAAACCCACCAGAGTTTTACGAATTAAGGGCACGTCGTTTGCAAAGTGTAGCTCTCGCTTTAGCGCAGCGCACACTCGTCGACGAAAAACAAGAAATCGCAAGAACCTCACGGATTGAAGGCGGGCCAATTTCAACGTGTAGCTCTCGCCTTAGCGCCGTGTACATTCGTCCTTCGAGTTTGCAAGAACTTCACGGACTGATGGCGGGTTGTTTTCGAAATTTGGCTCTCGCCTTGGCACCGCGCACATTCGTCTCAAAAGTTCGGAGGGGCTTCGCGGATTGAGGGAGGTTCCTTTCAACATGTGGCTCTCGCCTGAGGGCCGCGCACATTCGTTTAAAACATTTGCAGAAGTTCCATTAGTTCCCGTACTCAACATACCAGATACTGCGTTTTGGAAAGGCTCGTGATGGCACAGCAGCTACGTTGATTCGCAGTGTTGAAGTCCCAAGAATGGAATCCAGGTACGATTCAGGGTCGTCAAGACGTCGCCGTCCGATTGATTCGTGGCGTTGGAGTCCCGAGTGGTGCTTTGGCACGCTTCCGGGTCTTCCAACGATTGTCCCCCGACGAGTCCGCTCACTCAGTGGAGATGAACCCCTGGAGGGGCCGATGAAGAGGACCTTGGAGGGAGGGTTTATTCCAACATTGGGTTTACTCTGGTCCTCACTCACTCACTCATGGCGGCCGATCGTCGTCGTGCAGCCACCTGTCCTGCCCCTCCACCTCGGCTGTGGGCCCGAGGTGCACTGGTCCTCCTCCCCCTCGTCGAGGGGGGGGACGGGCTCAAGGGGGGAAGCATCTAGCCCAGCTGGAATTGGCGGTACATCGCCGATAGATCGGCGGCAGCCCCTCGATGGCACGTCGGCACGGTCTTGGGCGGAGTGGCCCATGAGGCCCCCACCGGCGATGCATGGGCGACTACTGGGGGTCGATGCATCCCCGCGGAGCCTTAACCATCTCCCCCGAACGTTGCCCCCGATCCTGTGTGCCTCCATAGGGGAACACACAATGGCATACGCATGAAAAAAAACAAATCATAGGTCCGCGCGGATTCCTCGCATCGGCGCTGGCCCCCTTGCGGGCTCCTCTGGCACCGCCCCTGGCGCGCTCCGCGCGCCAGGGGAGGTCAAACACCGATTCGAGAAATCCGCACAGACCTCCGAGATTTATGTTTGTGCCAATGTTGGCTCCCCTACAGCCGGACCTAGGCCAGAGACACTCCCTTCAAGAACAAAAGACCCACCGTCGGCCAGAACAAACAAAACGTCCAAACCCTCCCCCAGGATGCACAAGAACATCCAACAAACACACACAGGGCACTAGGGTACCCTCCCCGAACCGACCTCGGTCTTACACCTCGGTCCGACTGCACTCCGAGTAGGCTCAAGGAAAGGCGGCACCAACACCAACAGGGCGAGGAGATGCGCGGAGGCAAGGGGGCTCTGCCTTGTGGTGTGGTCCCCTCCTCTCGCTCGAGACATCCCCAGTCTCTCGCTCGGGGAGGCGTCGTGGACCTCCTCGCTGGAGATTGGCCCCCTGGTGGTGTTGGTATCGCTTCCCCTCCCTCCGAACCAGCCTCTGGGACCGAGGAAGGAGGCGTTCGGGCGCTTCTTCGGGCGCTTTTGTGTGGCATTGCAAGCCCGAGGCGGGCATCCGGGAGCCTGTGGAGGCCCCAAGGACCCCCCCCGGGGGGCCAAGATCTGGACCCGACGCAAAGCATACCAGTCGCGTGGGCCTGGGACTCCTCACTTTTCCATCTTAATCATCGTCGGCCTTACTCATTATCATGCTTTGTCCTCCTCCTTCTCCTGCTCATCATCATCATCATCATCATCATCATCATCATCATCATCATCATCATCATCATCATCATCATCATCATCATCATCAGCATTATCATCATCATCATCACCATCACCGTCACCATCACCATCATCGTCATCATCATCATCATCACCATCAACAACATCAACATCAACATCAACATCATCATCACCATCATCATCAGCAGCAGCAACATCATCAACATCAGCATCGTCACCATCAGCAGCATAATCATCATATATCATCATCATCATCATAATCAGCAGCAGTATCAGCATCATCATCAGCGTCATTATCATGATTCGCATCATCATCATCATCATCATAATCAGCATAATCATGTTCCTGTGTCTATTCTTACATCCTGGATCCTCCTCAACTTTCTCTTCTTACCCCTCCTGATAGGTATTACAGTATCATAGATCCCCGTCCTCCTCCTCCTCCTCCTCTTTCTCATGTTTCATCCTTCTCCTTCTCCTTCGCCTCGTCCTGCTCCTCCCGATGGGATCGGGCGCATGGAGCGCACAGCCTTTGCAGAACGCGATGGAATCAAAAATCCTTCTGGTCGTACCATGCTCTTCTTTCGCTCCCCGCTTCCCACCGCCCACGAGCCATGGAAGATGTGAGCGACGCCTGCCAGGAGAACCGCACCTGAACAGGACTGGACCACGGTGAAGGCCCCGCGCCTTCCGCACATACATTTTGCGTACGTGCGGAAGGCGCGGGTCTTGCATCGTGAAGAGACGACCTCTACATGTAAGCTTGCAGGACAGACCCTCGAAGTGTTGGGAGGCGCACACTTCCTGGCAAGCTCAGAACCGCGCCGCGCTGACCTGTCGCACGCTCTCGACGTCCGACTCGGCCTCAGGTAAACTACGCTCGAGCCTCACGACACGGTCAGCCTCCATGTGCCCGATGTGGGGTGATCGTGGGATGCCGGACGAACTCACGTGCGCACACCTTTTGCCGCTCAGCTCTTGCGCGTGCGCACGCCGACTCAGACTCCCAACTCTCGGGGCCCATGTCACCACCAGGGCTGCCGCCACAAGTCCGAAAAATTGAGCCGGTCAAGCGCGCAAACAAAACGGCCCCACGCCTGCAATCACCTGGCCAAATCCTCTGCTATCCGTACCCGTCGGTCGGAAGAAGTAGGCAACACCATGAGGTGGGAAGGCGGGTAAAGTAGATTGGGTTCAGGCCCTCCCAGAGAATAACGACACCCAGCAACAAAAACACATCGATTCTTGAAGCAGGAGGGCGCCTAAAATAGACGGGGATCTGGGCATCCGACATTACCTGCTCTCAACGACCAGCGCGTGCTGGGTCTGAGCTGCCCGAGCCCACCCTCTCTGAGCAGGTGGGCCTCGACCTGCTACGACAGCGGCGACGGGGGCACCTTCGGGCTTCCCACGGGAGCGCCCTGGAAAGTATACTCGGGCACCCCAAGGAAGCGTCCTCTCGCCATCGCTCGGACGTCCATTCCCCTGTGTTTGTTTCGGTTTCGTGCGTGGTTTTTTCGCCAAATGATCAAGGATGCTCCTCGGTGGTCCTCGCCGAGGAAAAACGCACACGTCCGAGCGATGCCAGGTCCTGGCAAGTGCATCCTGGCGCCCCAAGGGCGCGTCCTGGCACGTAAACAGCAGGCGCCCCCTGGACGCGTCCTGGACACGCCGCCGGGGAACGCGCCGTCACTCGCGAGCGGGGCAGAACTCCGATCACCGGAAGTCTGGCCCAAACTCAGGGAGAGTCCACGGATGATAGCCGCCAGATTAGCAAGCGGCCCAGCCCGCAACCCCGCCTGGGCGGGGTCCGAAACGAGAATCGGCCCGATCTAGAGCGCAACAGGTGCGCCTTTGGAGCCGAAGGTCTGGAGGGGCCCGAACATGCCTCTGCCCGCAGCCGCGCGGGACTGAATCCGAAACGAGAGCCGAGCCGATCCAAAGCGCACCAAAGGCACCGTTGAGGGGCCCTGGGGGCCCGAAGGGTACCAGACCCCTTGTCCCTGCGCGTTGTGAGCAAAACCGCTGCGGCAAGTTTTGGGTGTCCAGGACACGAACCACGTCCCGTTCGAACGAAAACCACACCACTCAACCCCAAGCGGGACGGGAGGTCATAGGAGGGAGCATTCTCGTCCAAGCTCCCCCTGCGAGCTCCCCAGTCTGGCACCACAAGCTCCTCCCCCACTGCTGAGTCACCCGACTGGCTCGTGAAGCGCTGCCCGAGTGCTCGCACGCGACGTGGGACATACCTGCTCGAGCCGCTCGGGACCCCCCTTCCCCTCTCTCTGACGATGGTGATCGCGTGTCGCTGAGGAGTGTTTGGCCCACGCGAGTCCTGCATAGGCGTCATCGAACACCCACGCCATGCACTCTATATCGCAGTCTGCGGCGAAAGCATTGGCGAGAGCAGCAACTCCGGCAAGGGTCCGCCCATCTGAAAGAGCTCTGAGCAACCCGGCTGCCCTACATGGAAGAACCCACAGTACTTCTGCCCGGTGAGCGAGCCAGAAAGACGGCACCGGGAGAGAGGCCTTGACGTTCTCCAGCTCGTGGGGCTTCTCATGCAGGCGGCTGGAGGTCTCCTTCGGCAGCCAAGGGATCGCCATCCTTGGACGCCCAGGGAGGCACTGCGTATGAAAAGCAATCACCATGACCATGTTCAATCGCGTAGGGATGCCCTGGACTTTGCAGACGATCGACGGGCGTTCCCAGAGCAATTGCCAATGAGATATTGACACCCATCGTACGAGAGGTTCAGGGGGCAGTGACACAACAAATGCCACCAACTGCACAGAGCCCATCTCGATTTGAGTGCACTTCTGACTCAAGGTTATATATATACGAGCTGCCGCTATCCTGCATCCTGGCGCAGGATGACCAAGTGTCTGTTCAGCCTGGCTGGGCATCGTCTGGACTGGCGAATCCAAGCCCCAGCTGGCAAACTCCAGGGCCCTGCTGGCAAATTTGATGCCCTGACTAGCAATTTCTGGGCACACATGCGGGGTGGGCGATGATGGTGACACTGAGGGCGGAGGGAGAATGAGAGAGATCGAGAGAGCGCACACACACACACAACATACTGACAGAAGAGGAACATAGCGCGGACAGGTCATGATACATGTGCCGTAGAGCATCTGACTGGACAAGGCGAGCGTCCGACCGTTCGCACAGACCTTGTGAAACTGATGCGAACTACTGCCGATATGCTCTTCCTCTAGAATGCACTCATAAGCGCTCACCCGCTCGATTCCAGACGTCGTCCTCACCAGACAAATGTTTCAGCCCGCGCCCGACTGTGCCGGGCGTGCCCCTCCCCTGGATGAGCCACAAACTATCCGCGGGTCCCGTCGGGGGTGGGAGAGGACAAACGGCGTGATAAACATAGTTAGCTGTGCAGGCAACCGCAACAGGAGGTCGGAGTCTCACTGCGCCACGCCCCGCAGGATGGGGCATCACGGACGGGGCCCCCGAAAGACCGCCAGAAGCTCCCTGGGATGCCTCGCAGTGTGCCCTGAATTCCCATGGGGGCGCCAACCATATAACAATTGTCAAACATAAGTTCAACCAATTCCCCCAAAAATGCAAAACTCGTTCCCAGACTATTTATTGACTTTTTGTTGAACATCCCCCCTGCAGAGGGACAGGCCCGACTTGAACCTACTACAATTGGAGGCTGTCAAAGGCCGCTGAAGCCCCTGAAGGCCCAGGAAGGCCTGGGTGGCCACGCGTGGCTTCCTGGCAGCGCGGGGAAGCTCTGGTGGCCGCATGAGGCTGCCGGAGGCGAGGCGTGGGGCGGCCCTCCTCCGCCGGCCGTGCTCGGGGTCCCACGGCGGGACCCCGGAAGTGCCTGGGGCACCTGGACCTGCCTGGAGGACGGGGAGAGTGCTGGCGGCGGGTTGAGCATCCGTACTTCTACCCCGGGGTGGGTACACGAAGCTCCAGAGCATGCAACTGCCTCATGGACGCCTCTGAGCCGGAGGCCCTACAGGCCACTGGAGCCTCCTGGAAGCTCCAGTGGAGGCTCTGGAAGCCGTGGGGCCTGAGGCTGTGTGGAGGGGGGACGGCCACTTATCACGCTCTCATGCCTTTACAAAAGGGTCGACTTGCTACTGCGGGGCCCTCCCGGAGAGGTGGCGTTTTTGGAAGCCCCTGGAGGCCGTCCCAAGGAGGCAGACGTAAACCCTCCAGGGGCCCAAATAGTTTCGCCTGTCGCCACTCACTGGACAGCCTCAAGGGATCAAAGTGTCGATGCGGTTCGGCCACACGGATGCAAGGGGGGTATCCCAGTCGCACTGGGCCTCCATCCTCCGACGGGTGAGTATCAGATGATCCCCCAGCTGCCAACCGCAACCACAAAGGCGAAGGCCAATATGAGGCCCTGGACACGCAGGCACCACTTATACATACTCTTGTCTTTACTTCCAGCTTCTGCTCATCACATGCCCTTCCTCAGGGAACGCCCGACGGCACACTAGAGGCCCAGGGCCCCCTCGGCCCAGGCCAAGAGGATCATGCACCAAAGCTGAACCGACAAGGGCATGGCCAGCATCACTGCCAACGTGGTCTTGCCAACCCTCGAGCCCCTGGCCGCACCCTGCTCGAGGACTGACTACCTACCAGACCAGACCACCCCAACCCATCCCGAAGACCCGCATTGGACCTGAATTTCAGGTTGGGGGTGATACGGGCTCCATGCGGTTCTTCACTGTTCCTCGACACCCCCCCCACTGGATGTGGAGGGCAAATCGAAGCTTTCGGGCTGGGCTGGGGTGGTCTGGTGGGTGGTGAAGGACACGCCAGCCCAAACCGCTGCTCGGGTCGGGCGAAAGGGGGGGATAGCAGAGGGGGGGTGTGAGAATCAGCTCACGTAGCTGATTCTCCCGGCGCCTCCCGGCGCCGGAGGCGGCCATGCATCGAGGAATGGGCCCCACCGCGGTGAGGCCGAAACCGGCTGCCTGCAGCAGATCTCGTAATCCCCCCTTTCCCAATCCCCCCCCTTTCGTCCGGCCCGAGCTGCTCACCAGGGCCACGCCCGGTGGCCGGGCCACGAACCCTGGCCGGGCCCAACTGGCAGAGCCCCCGGGCCCCACGGCAGAGAAGGGTCGGCCCCACGTGGCTCCCGGATGTGTGCCCGCCCGGGAGGGGTGCCAATCGCGCTGCGCCCTGCGTTGGGGGCGCAACGTGGAGGAGGACGAGGAGGAGGAGGAGGAGGAGGAGGAGGAAGAGGCGGAGGAGGAGGAGGAGGCGGAGGAGGAGGAGGAGGAGGCAGAGGAGGAGGAGGAGGAGGAGGGAGGAGGAGGAGGAGGAGGAGGAGGAGGGGGAGACGGACGAGGATGAACAGGATGAGGAGGAGGAGGAGGAGGAAGAGGAGGAGGTGGAGGAGGAGGAGGAGGAGGAGGAGGAGGACATCAACCATGCTCCGCCCTGCGTCGGGGGCCCAAAGTGGCGGTAATCATCATTCGCGCCTCTCCTCGTCTGCTCTGTGAGCTGGGCACACGGGGATGTGTTCTTGCTCCGCCTCCCGCTGACACCTGCTGGCGTTAGCCTCCACTACCCTGCGCTCCGACATGCGCTGCACTTCGTTGCCCTGGCACGCAGCGCGCGACCCGTGACATGCCGACACGGAGCTCAACACTTCGACTGAAAACATTGAAACGTGGGTCAACACTCCGAACCAACACGAAGCGTGCCAACACAGACGTTTTGAACACGGTGCTCACGTGGCGCGTTTCAACAACGGACGCCTCGGGGCAACTAAAGGCGCTGCACGTGGAGGCTCTTGGGCTGCGTTCCGCGGGCCGGCCTGCTTCCGCGCGCCGACGCGCCCCGGCGCGCTAAAGAGCGCGCGGTGGCGCGCGAGGTCTCGCCCTGAGCTCCAGAGCTCGGGCGGGGGGGGGCTGGGCTGCCCTGGCCTTGAGCAGGGGCGGGCAGCGGACGATCGATCCTTCAGCAGTGCAAGGGGTGCACGCTACAGTCAGCCCGTACAGGAAGGACGCACTGTAAGGATGAACGGGCCTTGTAAGGCCATGTCGACACTCTGCAAGCGGGGGACGGCCAGCGAAAGCGGCCAAGGACAAGCCGAGGGGGAAGGATGAAAGGGCATCCTTGGAAAATCGATCTTCCTTACTATGCGGTCTGACTGTACGTGTTCGACCATAAATCCATGGATGCCCATCGCCCTGAGGCGGTCTTCGGCGGTCATCCAGCGGTCTTCGGCACGTTCGGTTTTCAGCGGCATTTCGAGCGGAAGCTGCATGGATGCATTCCACAGGGGGTCAATGATCGATGCTCCGAGACTGGATTCATGCACGTAGAATGGAGAATCCAGCCAATCAAATGAATACAACTCCATTCAGTGACACAGGGCCACATCTTCGAGACGACACAGTGGGGACTGATTGCAGAGGACACCCGAAAGGCCACACGCACCGTCCGAGGGGAACGGCGACAGACATGACACCAATGACCCTGTGATGTGGCTAAGTCGACGTGGACCCGACTGCATGCTAGAGCCTGTGACCGCGCTGCGCGCTGGCTCCAACTCTCCGGGAACCTGAATGTGCGGTAAGACCTCGCCGCCTGGGTCGCCGCTTCAGAAACCCGAACACCCGACCGTGTGGTACTTGTGATGCGCGGATCTCAAGATTATGTGCATTATGTGCAAGAGTGACTTCAAGACAGGCTCCGGGAACAAGCAATGTTATACACAGGAGAACTGGGAGATCCGTCCGGATTCCTCGGATCGGCGCTGGACAGCTGTCCCTGGCGCGCGGAGCGCACCAGGGACGGCGCCGGAGGCGCCGCCAGGGGGCTCCAGCGCCGAGCCGAGGCATTCGCGCTGACCTCCGAGTTCTACTACGGTCAGTGGCCGTTCCCCCACGGAAGGGCGCCTCCCTCCCCCGCCGCTGCGCTGCAACGCTGGCGCCCACCCGAAGGCCCAAGCATCAGGGGGGCGTAAGACCCGGGTACAGGGGACTCGGAAATCCCCGACGAGGTCGTGAAAAAAATGACGAGGCCGAGCCTGCATTTTGACGAGGCCTCCCGCTGCAGACATCCCACGAAACTCCTACTCGTCAAAATCCGAGTCGCGGTCGTCAAAAAAAGATGGCGAACCCGAGTCCTGGCAAACCCGAGTCTTAGGCTCCCCCGAAAGCAGCCATGCATGGGAGGAGGATGGAGGCGAGGAATGAGGAGAGGGCCGAACAGGGTGGGGCAGGGCAGAGTTAAGTCAGGCCTGTCCCCCTACAGGGGGATTCTGGACGAAAAATAAGAATATCCCAAAAATGCTACAAAATGGCCAAAAAATACTCAAAATATCGCCCCCCGACTATTTTTTGACTAGTTGTGAATATTCCTCCTGTAGATGTACAGGCCCGACTAAGGGCAGAGCGAGGGTGAGGAAGGGAGGGTGGTGCCTTCTCCTGCGCCCGACGCCCTGAAGCCCCGAGAAGAGAGGAAAGGATGGTGAACGGGTACTGTCTGGAAGCCGCGGGGTGGACTGTAGCTGACAATGGGTTCTCTATATGATGGATCGTTATACGCATTTGATTCAACGCATGTGGACAATGAAACCCGAAGGGGGGGAAGGCGGTTAATGAACGGTGGTCACTAAAGGATCGCAGTGGGTGGGAATGTCGGGTAGGTGTAGGAGACAATGGCTGGTGAGCACCAGCTGGAGAACACGGAAACGCGAGGCAAGGGGATCTGGTAAACGTGTGATCTATGAGCCCCCCGCCCCAAATGCTCCCCTGCTGGATGAAAGAGGTGAGCTGGGAAGGCATCGAACAGCGTTCGGGCGGCTGCAGTCTGTGAGCTGCGAAGACACACCAAGCTGTGGACGTGCGTGCGCAGCGGGTGGGAGGGTGAGCAATCTGCAGCCGTTGATCGCCCTTCACTGCCCGAGCGGCGGGCTGGGGGGCGGGAGGCGATACGAAGGGCTGGTGCTTCGCCTGCGGTGCGCGAGGGGAGAAATGGGGAGCAGGCGCTGAGCAGCGGGCAGTGAGTAGGGTTATGTCGGGCGTGTCCCCCTACAGGGGGATTTTCGACGAGAAAAATAAAGAAATACCCCAACAATACCCCAAAAAGGTCAAAACATATTCAAAAAAAAGTCCCCAGACTATTTTTAATATATCTTTATATTATTTTATAACATTCTCCATTTTTCGTAAGAGTAGGGTCGCAGGCCGGTCAGTGCCAAAGGCACGATCCTGGAACATCCCACACGCAGAGGCGGAGGATGCACCGCGAGAAGGGTGGCGACAGTCCTCGGTGGTGAGGTGTGAATTCGCTGGCCGCCCTGCTGCAACGCAGACTCAGTCTTACGCATCGGCGCTACCGACGTCTTCATTTTGTGACACGTTGCCCATCGAAGAAGCACCCCCATCGATGACATGATGCGCTTCCGCTCCTGATGCCGATACTGGTTCAGGTGCTGCGGTCACAGCTTCCCGTGGCTGCCCATCTGCCGAATCGTCTGGCGATCTCCTGGATCTGCAGGAACCCCATGGGAAGCCGCATCGGCGATGCATCGGCGATGCGGCGCGGTCCTCCGACCCCATCTGGGAGGCCTGGACTGAAGGGGCCCCAGGACACACAAATAAATACACACAAATAAAAGGATGCCCCATATTTTCCTACATGTTTGGGATTGCCGTCTTCCCCCCCACTTCCCATATTTTCTCATATTTTCTGGGGAGTCGACGATTAATTGTGTCTGTGTGTGAATGTGTGAATGTGTGAATGTGTGGATGTGTGAATGTGTGAATGTGTGAATGTGTGAATGTGTGTGTCTGTGTCAGTGTGTCTGTGTGTCTGTGTGTCTGTGTGTCTGTGTGTGTGTGTCTGTGTGTGTGTGTCTGTGTGTGTGTGTCTGTGTGTGTGTTCCCCTCCTGGATCTGGGAGGCCTGGACCCCATCCCCGGGGATGGGAGCAGAGCTGGCCACATCGCTCGCTCCCTGCGGAGCTGCCGGCGGCGGTCCGCCCGGGGGCACCACCCAGACCACCTCTTCGCGCGTGGCGCGCGGCCTCGGCGGCACGGCGAGGAGGGCCTCAAACCAGGGCCAATGCAAGTGTTAAGTCGGGCCTGTCCCCCTACAGGGGGATTTTCGACAAAACATAAAAAAGTACCCCTAACATAATCCAAACATAGTCTGGGGACTATGTTTTGAGTATTGTCTGACCTTCTGGGGGGTATTTTTGGTGTATCTTTTTTTGTCGTCGAAAATCCTCCTGTAGGGGGACACGCCCGACATAACACAAGTGTCAAGAGACTCGCTGGCGAGCCCTGGGGGGGCAGTGAGAATGGGCGGGCTCCTCCAAGGCTCGGGAGCCCCCTGGCTTGCTGAGATCGAGCGGGACTTAATGGGGGGGTCATAAGCGGGGGGGTCAGAAAGGGTCCCCTCTCGTGCCCCTTTCGGGCCCCTCCAGAGCCCCAGGGGGCTCGTTTAGGTACCGTTTGGGTACCTTTTCGAACCACCCTCGCCACCCCCCCATGTATGACCCCCCCACTACGCGGCGCCCAATGAGAAGTGTTCCAAGCCTTCCCGGGAGACTGACCAAAAGCCTCGCACAAGGCGCGAGGGCCTCTGAGCAGTCCCGCCTTCTCCCGAGAGGGTCTTCTCCTTCTCGCCTCCCCCCTCGCTCGCCGCCGAGCCCAGGCAGCCGGGCCTCTTTTCTCTCTCGTCAACGCGTCACGCGGCAAGGCTGCCTCCACTCGCTTCAGCAGGTCGGCGCGCAACGGCACGAAGGGGGCAGGGCGGCCATGCACAGAGGACCCAAAGAAGAGCGTTGCCATGAGCTTCGGGAGGTCCGCGCGGACTTACTGGGTCGGCTCCTGGCAGCGCCTCCAGCGCCGACCGAAGTAATCCGCGCAGGCTCCCGAAGGTGTGTCCGTGTCACCGCACTTGCTCGTCCCAACGCAGATGCGTATCGAGCGCTTACAACTAACGGAGGATATGCCGATCCCAATCTCAGGCTTCGCTGGGTTTCGAAAGGACCAGGGATTTGGGGCCCAACCCTGGGATATACGATAGGGGGGCGTTCATTCTCGATAGGGCTGCGTCCGATTAGCCCCCTTGGGGTGTATCCCAGGGTTCCTCCCTTTTTCTGAATTCAACGGCCGATCTTTTCAAGCGGAACTCGGGGATTGTCAGCTACACGCAAGAATGACCCTAGGCAAGAGTGACCTTCTGGTGCGCGGACTAGGGGGGCGCAAAGTGGCCGAATCCAACCGCGCAGTCAGCCGCTATCGCATCGCGCGCAGCGATCACTTGAACCCCGATGAGACCATACCAAAGGTCACTCTGACGAAGGGTCACCCTTACGCGTGGTCGAGATTAGAGGCCTCCTAGATGGGGTCCGACCGCGCCGCATCGCCGATACATGCATCGCCGATACATCGACGATGCATCGGCGAGGCACCAGCGATGCATCGTCGACGTGGGTGACGAATCGGCGACGTCCGCGTGGAGAAAATCGGGCTCCGCATGGAGCCGCATCGGCGATGCGTCGTCGATGCATCGGCGATGCGGCGCGATCTTCCGACCCCACCGACTCGGACCCCATCTGGGAGGCCTAGACACGTGTGGTCGAGGTTGGGGGAGAAAAATCGCCCGCGAACAATCCGCGCGGCGGCGCAACGGCCCAGAAGAGGGCGGAGCGCGGCGGCGCAGGGGCGGGGCGGCGGGTGGGAGGAGGCCGGTGGCCGGCTGCGCAGGGGCGAGCGACCACGAGGAGGTCGAGAGGCCGCCAGCGGTGCACCGACACCGGTCCGGGCCAGGCAGCCTCTCCTGGGCACAGGGCCTGAGCTGCCCCGACACGCAACACGCAGCCCGCTGCTTGTTGACACGGAGCTCAGCACGCGGGTTGAAAGCGTACGCACAAACGTGGGCCAACACGTGGAGCCAAGACGCAGCGTGTCCACACGGACGTTGTGAACACGGCACGCGTTGCGTTGCAAAACGGGCGTGTCAGGGCAGCTAAGCCCAGGATCGGTCTACACGCCCTGCTTGCTAGGCCAGGTAGGCATACGCACCCACCCTGTGCCCAAGATAGGCCTGGCCAGCATCGGTGTCGGTGTCTAGTGCAGCTGCCGCCTTCGGAGGGATTGTGGTGGCAGACGGGGGTGCAGCACTGATGTGCTACTTCGCGATCGAGAAGCGACCGCGAAGCAGCACTACGCGGGCCAGGGATTGATTCGCCGGCTGCGCGGGCGAGGGATAGGCTGCTCTGTAGCAGGATCACTCCCAGCACAAGCTTCGGGGGGAGGAGGGAGGTGGAAGATATAGGACGGAGGTTGTTGGACGTTGTGTTGCCTTCTTGAGCCTATGGGATGCTTTCGTCCCCGCGGCTGGGTGTTCCTTGGGATCCTGGCCAGAGACCAACCTGGGCTGACTGGGCAAAGAGCGGGAAGGGGACTGTTAAGCACCGTGAGCCCGCAAACTGCAGAGATAGTTTCGGCTCCAGACAGCCCGCTCCTTTCACCACCCATCTTCACTCCCGCACCCCCCCCCTCCCCTCCCCCCGCCCCTGCTGTTGCCGGCACGCTCTGGATGCAATACCCGCGTTGTCCACGATGCCGCCCGACAGAGGCCCATCACGGCGGCACGGAAATGGGCAACGGCAGCGCACCCACCCCGTCCGCCCCGACGCCCGTTCCTCCGCGAGGCCCCCCTGCTCAACCTCCCTCCCCTCATCCATGTTTTCCTCCTCCTCCTCCTCCTCCTCCGTTTCCTCCTCCTCCTGCTTTTCCCCCTCCGTCCCTGGAAGGAAAACGAACATGGCATGACCGTGATGTTTCGGAGGTCGGCGCCCATTTCTTGGATGGACGCCAGGACCCCTTTTCTGCAGGCCCAAAATGCAAAAAGGGGTCCAACAGCAAGGATCGCAGCAATATTATGATATGCGAATGAGGGGATAATCTGCGCAAAAACTGGTAATAAGG